TGTACAAATAAAACGATGATAACCAGATACAGACTCCGGAATGAACCTAGAGGTAATATTTTTAAATGCTTTTTATTTGTAATACACATAAGAAACACCCAGACCGATAGAAACAATAATACTCATGAATACAAGTGTTTGTAACATGCGAGTTATCGAACTCGAGAACATCGGAAGTAAGGCTATATTCTAAACCGCCGTATCACCAAAGCTCTCAAAAATTTATACTTATATAACTACCAATAATAATATGTTAGGTACTACATCGTAACTACGAGTACTAAATTGTCTATTACAAGTCAAGTTTAAAGGTTCATTAACCTTAATGTAAAACCAGTTATAATATATTAGAAGTAATCAACTACATATCTACTTATTGGGCATGTCGATCCAAATAAATTGTCCTTGAAGCAATCTATTTTGTGTGCTGCCATCATAAACTCTATTGGAGCAAATGAACAATTGCTATGAATATCATATTGATAAAGTATATGTACAATGAATTGAGTAATTGTGTGAGTAACAATGAGATACTGTGGTACTTAAATACAAGGAAGAACAGCTACTCTCGCGAAACGCATGCCATATCATTTTCGACAGTCGAATGTAGCGTAACGTACAAAGAAAAAACATTGTATACCGACAAATTTAGCACGAATTGATTCTAAGTAATCTGCGCAATAAAGAATATAATATACTACCTAGCCGCCCCGACTTCGCACGTGTGTATATGTAATATAAATATAAACCTTTCTCTTGAATCACTCTATCTATTGCTGCATTAAAATCCCTTGCGCAATTTAAAAGATCTAAGCGAACAGAGAAATGCAAATAGCGTCCTAATCACCACAGGTATAGTGGATTGTCCACTTCAAAAGTAGTAGACATCAGTACAGAGTTACAGATCCAGTGAATCTGGAGGTGGGCACAGATGTATGAACTAAGCTATTTTATGTTCATATTTTACTAACATACAAGTCATTTATTAACATGATAGACGAGGAAAAATATTATGACACTTGATACGGCATGATGAATTTATGAAAATTATTCTTGAGGGAAAAATAGAAGAAAAGAGGGGGAGTTGATGTAGCTACATCAAGCAAATTAAAGACGAAACTGGAGTCGTGTCGTATCAACATTTAAAGAGCACGATGGAAGACGGTGGAAAGTGGCAAGAGCTCCACTGACAAAAATGTGACCTTAATTATGAATGAATGAATGAACACACAAACAAATACATCGTATACTATATAAGCTTGTCATTTGAAATTCAGAATGGTATTTCAACGGTTTCATTTATTGGGATCTGTACTCTATTCGTTTAAAGGTAAGTCCCAAGCGGATGTAATAAAATGTAAACAAATATGATTAACACCAATTCTAAGATACCTATGTTATTTTAAAGACTACATTATATACATTAATACATACATTTAATGTCGTTCTATTTAATAAAACAGGGTTGTTTTCATTTAATGTTTCTATGAACAAAATTTGCGGATGAGGGGAATTCTTTAGAAATGGTATCCATTTCTAGTGTAGCCTATAAGTTGACCTCCATGCAATCTCTATAGAAACAATTTTGGTTAATTCCTTGATTTTCATTCTACCATTCTCTATTATTAAAGTAGACGCGTACACTACTCCATTGTCATCCACATTTTTTTTACCCAGTTTACCATCTAGTTCCATGCTAAGCAGTGCTTGTTTTATGGGTTCTAGATAACTGATATAAATACCTTTTTTGTAATTACATATATAATATGCATAGGAAACACCCAGACCAATACAAACAATCAGTCATGAATAGAAATGTTTATACTGTGCGAGGAATCAAACCCGCAAAAGTTGGAATTGAAGCGGTATCTAAATCGCTAGAACACCGAGGCCGTCTCCAAATAATATTAGTATATATAGACATCGAGAAGTATTCAAGCGAGTCACACAAAAACTACACGTGTAGGTACCTAATAAAATATAGATACTATGTTTCAAAGCGTAACGTAACAATTCCTATAGCCCTGGCCCATTTTGTTAGTCACTGAAATCGCGCTGTAAAAATTAAATGACGCCTATAATCTCAAGGCAAATAACATAGGGCGGCAACGATAAGATTACAGCAAACAAACATTTTGTAATTGAGGCTAACAGGTACTGAATGATTTGAGTTTACTACAAATTCATATCCGATTATTTTTCCGAAATTACGCATAGTCGACGTTACCATATATATTTTCTTCATTAAATCAATATAGATTATTTAATTCATTTGCAAATAAAAAAGCCGACTACTATCGTTAACAAATAATATTACGTTGGAGAACGAGAGATTTTTACTAATTCATTGCTGGTAATGTTACAAATCAGATTGACCTCAACGCAGTCCTCTCTGGAAACCATTATGGTTAATTCTTGGTGAATCGCCACGATAGGATAACAGGAGATGAAGCCTTCTTCATCATCATCTCATCATCGTATACTGGTGCCTAGCCAACCTAAACCGTTTACACAGACAGATGCACCATTCCATATGCATCCATACAAAAAACAATGCTAGAATGTATTTCTTTATATCCATTCATATTATATATTTAATCGGGACTATTCTAGTGACAATGAATTATAATGCAGTGATTTTGATTTAAAAATATATACTTCAATAATTTTAATGAAATATTTATGGAACCAATGTAACTATATGTACTTTAAAAAAATACATACATACGTTTATAAACAAGTCCTGTGCTAATAAACATAAAATAAGCAACCGCCTAAACTTTTTCGCCTTTTTTAAGTCGTCATCCAATCACAATCTAATAGTCTAATCTTAAAAAAAATGTGACAGAGTGTAAAGACAAACATTTCAATTAAACAAAGAATCAACAATATCTATGAATAAGATATCACTTAACAAAATATTACAATCTAGGTGTGAATCTTATCACTTTTGAAGACAGTTGAAAATATTAGGGAAAATATATTATTTATTAGTCATGTATATTGAATCCTCTATGTTATATAGAGCAATATTATTTTGAAAGGAGGCCGGCATTCATAGCTACACTCGAGTATGATTAATGTGGTATTTGATTCACAACAAGTTTTATTAGTAATTGTGCTCCACTCATAGTGAATTCAATTGGAATTCAATGAATTTGTAGAACAAATAGACTTGGATGCATCTAGTTGGTTCAATTTAAAGACTAGGGTGCTTCTATTATTACATAATAATAATATAAGTTTGATGTAATCTTAGGTTGTGTTTCATAGTTAAGTTGTACACAACAGTGAAAATACATTTGTTTAAATGTACAGGTATTGTGCAACCTGAACTAGTATAGAGTTAAACTGTATTTCTAACATATATTACTATTGTGTAATTTAGGATTAATAGAATATGTTATCACTATTAATAAAGTACTAACTACCATAATGTTTTCATTAATATGTATACTCATAATATAAGAAAAAGAGGAATGATTCGACTTTCTGTATTTTAGATTATAGTGAATAAACTGTAAAAATACTTGATCGATTTAATCTTTATATAGCATGTAATCAAACAGACATTACTACTTGTATACACATAGTATACATCCCTGTAATCATTATAACAAGACAATACTATTGTATACATTCAAATAAGAAAAATCAGTTACACCATTTAATTTATTTTTTTCTCAACAACAATAAATAAAAAGGCAAAGTGATTTTTCCTAATTGTATGCATAGAATAGTATTCTCTTATAAGTAATAAATAATAACAATATCAAATTTGAAACAGTATAATACTATTCTACTGCCAGGAAATATTGTAAATATACATTAATTGATTAATAGATTAAATTTGATAACAACTCAGCAACAAAATAATTTAAAACAAGATAGTACTTAAAAATAAATCAACATTTTCTTCACTAAAGAATGAACATAATGAAGAAGTAACATTAATGAACAATTTGTTAAACGGATAATAAAAGCCTAGCAGTAATTAATATTGTGTTTACTCCAAAGAAGTATAGTATATAGTATAGCAGATAGTTGAGAACAAAAATTAAAATTGACTAAAACTTTTCTTTTTTAAACCAACAGTTTTTTAGTATCATTTAAAATATTCCTCAATATTCATATTGATTAAGACTATTGTTATAATAATGTTAGTAATTTTTGGATTATTAAATTGAAAGTTTCATTTAGTATTAATTTATCAGCACATGCAATAATAACAAAGTCTAAAATTGTAGAAAAAAATATCTTTAGTTTAGTATCTAATCAATATAGTATTGTCAAGTTTAAGTTTAAGTTTATTTTCTTTTCCAATTCATCGAGTAGATTTTCTACAAAACTGCTTACAGTTGAGGATAAAAGAAAGCAGCTTACTAATTCTTAAATAATTTTAACAATATTATACATTTATTTCTAGGATTTATTATATATAGAACATATTTTATAGCAGTATATCTTAATATATATAAATGTTCAGACTATATTTAGGGTATATGTAATGTATTTTACTATAAATAAACATAAACTTCACATAGAATTAATATTTATCTCATACTTGAATAATAAATAAAAAGGTCAATTTTATTAAAATTTAACAAAAACTATATTTGTTTAGCAAACTATAGAAGAGTTTCTTTTATAAATATGATATATTCGCTTTATATTCATTTTAATATTATAATCTGACAAGTTCATATATTTTATTTTTCAAAAATGTACTACTCAAATAAAGTTACTGTGAATTTTGCTTTGCAACTGTCGATATATTTATGTTATCACATTCCTTTTTCTAACTTTATTATACGGAAAATTTCATTATAATTTTTTCATTATAAGTTGAAATATTTCAAATAGTAAAGTTACTAACTTGTAGTAGTAAGTAGTACCTACTAACTTGTGTTATTATACAGGAAGGATGTAAGTTTTGTCATCGGCAGCAAATATTCGCAAAATACAATTTTAATTGTCAATCAAATATGGTAATTACTTACCTTACGAAAAGCAAACAGCTCATTTTGAAGTTTCTGCCTCTCAGCAGAGGGCTGCTGGCCCTTGCCTCGTATAAATTTTAGCATTCTGCCGGCCTGCAACAAAACAACCACTTAGCTCACTTCACAAACACTATAAATTAATCAAGACAACAGATATCCCACCATTATTGCATATTAATAATACGAGAGAACACTTGCACATTGACCGGCACCGAGATGCCGACTGACTTAATAAGTCTCCAAGATATTAAACAACGCAGCCTCGCAGCACTATGTTTTGTCTTGCTACAAAAAATAATAAGACGTCGTACGTACCGAAAAACACACAATTTAGAACATTCCCTTTCAATTATCGTCACACCACGAGACAACGCCTGTCTGACAGAGCCGATATAACAAATTTCTACCGAAACACAGTAGTACAACAATAAATGCTCACATTTTATGCCATCGTACATACCTGAACACGACAGTTTGAGCAGTTTTAGTGATGAAATCCAATAAAAAAAAGATTATCTGATAGACAACTCACAAAAACGGCGTCAAATACACACAAACATGAAAAAAACCACTCCGAAATCACAAATCTAGACGCGAGTCAACCCACACCAGTACAATGACGTGACGTGACTAGTAGTGAGTGTTGCAATAGTATATTAAAGTTACCCTAATATTAAAACGACGATAGGGAAAGATACGGACGTTATTATTGTAAAGATAAACGAAAGATTAGATTTTTTTTATTTATAATAAATAAAAATAATTAACTGAGTTGTAAAATTCTTTCATCTATTAAGATAGGTTGTATTATATTTTAAAAAACTTACTGATTGTAATATATATTACCACATTGTTGATAGACAAACAATTTAAAAATATCTATAGGGTTACTAATAAAATTTAGTAACTAATTAGGTATATTCTACTATGTAATAAATCTTATCTATGGTTCTCCTAATATTGTAAACAGAAAATGAGATATATAAAAGTTTGTTACTCCTTCATGAACAAAAAAAATGGATACATTTCAGTGTATTGTTGTATTAAATAATAGTTAATTGATATAGTAGTGTAACAAATTAGACGTTTATTAACTTAGTTCACGCGTATTTAACAAAGGCATTAATTCAGAATCTCGATAGAATAAATGTTTTTTTAATTATATTATCTATAGATATGTACATAATTTTACCATAATTGTACATACAGAAAAATAAAATTAAACCGAAATAGAAGTATAAAAAATTGGTTTTAGTTGTCGAAGTAAAACAAATATTTTGTAAATACACATCTATAATATTATTCCTAATTCTTACGGCTTTTAGTATTATTCTAATGTTGTTGGTCGTAGCTGAACTTTAGAGCTTCAACTGTACCTACGGTGACGGCTTCTAATTATTGGTAAAGTTTGATCCTCGTACAACACAGGCGTTTGTATATCTGATTACATTGGTCTAGGCATTTTCTAATACAATATTACCAATTAAATTTTTGTATGGATAGAGGGTTTGTTATTAGCAAATTAATTTAAATCAATGTAAGTAAACGATAAGTACAAAAATAATACAATATATATAATAGTTTAGTTTTATATCATGGTAAAGGAAATAAAAATAATAATAATATCTTCACACAGTGCAACATCTCCCACACTTGGCTAAGGCCTGTGTGAATATTACTTTCTTTTAAATTTATAAAAGAAGAGAAAGAAAATATTGAAATGAATTTTAATGTATTTTAAATTATTTACACATCTGCAAACTTTCAAGTAAATGTTACAGAATATACAATAACTACCATTAAAAAGGGGAAAAATTCTGTTACGGGCAACAAGTATTGAAATGTACGTTCTGAACATAGAATTATATATTAATATATAGATCATTGTTTTTTTTTAATTATTAAATAATATGGGATAGTTTTATACTATTTAAAAGAACATAATTATACTTATTTAATGTAGTGCACGATGTTAATTTATTTATCGAGTTATTGTAAAACGGTATTGATGTAAGTAATCAACGACTTAAATGTATTTAGTCTGTGGAACGCATTTATATGCGTTCTAATCAACAAAAATATTCAAATAACAATTTATTTTGAACGCATCTTAATTTGAAGTTTTGAATTGACATTAGCCTCAACTAAATAATGCCATTTTACTCTAAAAATGCTAAAACTACTGTTGCAGCAACTTAAATCTGAAAATAGAAAGTTAGCACTGATATTGAGATTGAATTGATAAGAGTAGAGAGTACAGAGGAGGGGGCGGGGTGATTACCCGGGGCATCTGTAATCATCAGTCATGAGAACAAAGTCAGCTTAATATAACGAATTGAAATTGAAATTAGCACTGAGTTATGTCTTTACCTTTACTGTTATTACCAATGCCAATAGCCTACCAACCTTTCTATATACCGATTGAAGCGAAGGTCGATTTCAAAACTGGCCGACATCAAAAATGACTTAGGTTAATTATTTTTTCTGTCAATAATACGTACTAACACTAACAAGTAATAGGTACTACATTTGCTATTGAAAAAATATAACTAACTTAATTTATTTTCAGTAATATAATGTTAAGTATTTTATTGTCAATTACAATATAATAAATATCCTTTTGTTTGTAAATAAATATAAATGCGCTACTCCAACTTCCTAACTGAATTATCTATAACTTTGAGCTAAAAGTTGAAGATTCAGAGTACTGGCTGGAAAGAGAAACATTAACGTCAGAAAAATGTAAAGCATTGTGGAGTTTTCAAGAAGCTTGCGAGTCGTGTTGAAATTATGCAAATAACTTTCTTTAGCCTTAAGAGCAAGAAGCGCTGGTAAGAGAATGCAAAGTTACCGCGTAAATGTTAAACTCAAAAATTGTAGGTAGGTAGGTCCATAATAATGGACTACGTTGGAAATATCTACGCTTCTATTTGTTATATTTACCTAACTGCATTCTCCAGGGGAAAGAGGTTTCATAATAATGTGGACTGACAACCCAATTGCTAATAATGTACCATGTCAGGTTGACATCCACGTGGTTCTTCCAACGTGATAAATTCCTAGTGAATGTGTCACGACGGGTCAGCTGACCTACTTCATACTAATCTAATCATCCTCCACTGGTGCCCCACCACCGTATACCGCCAGCGCAGGCGGGTACAACATTTCATCATCATATATTATAAAAAAAAAAATTCTTCGCAGTCGAAACAAATTATCGGTATTTTTATGTAATTATAATGACAAATAAGTTGCGTACCACCTGATGGTAAGTGATAACCGTCGCCTCTATACAAACAGCATCACGGACATCACGTTATCATGTCATGCCTGTGATACCATTAATGATGGTGGAGGATTGATACTAATAGAGACTAGTGGTCCATTATTTATTTTTAAATTGGTGGTAATGGAGTGGTGCTCTCGCCTACTAAACTAACGCTAACTGCTTACGTTGGCGGATGGTTGCAGATAGATGTCTATCATGCCTTGGTGCCTCCTATACTGTAATTTACTGCCTTATAGTAAATACCCCTCAACGAAAACATATCTTAGAAAGTAATCAGCTTGGTGGATGAAATTTATAAAACTAAGGTTTACACGAAGACAATTTTTTATAAAATTAACTGTCTAAAGACAATACGTATACATTGTGTCTATGTTTGTTAACAGTATGTAGTGTAAGATGAAAATAACAAAATATACATCACTCTAACTTTCTGAGTAGTCTCATTTTATTGATTCTTTTCTTGTTACCAGCAAACACAAGGAGTGTTTGCTGGTTAGTATTTATTATTAACAATTGCACCTCTAAGTTTAAAATAATGTACAATTCAACAGAATCTGTATGTAAAGTTATTTAATAAGATACTATACGTACATATTTGATCTATTCTTCATGTAATGAATTAAACTGATGAATAAAAATATGTATTACGTCGTATTCATAAGTGATTTCAATGTATTTTAAATAGATAAAGAGATTTATTTTTTAATTTTACAATGTTTAGAATTATTGTCCTGCAAAACTTCGTCGAGGCAAAATATCCACATATTATGTTGTATGTACGAATTAAAATTAGCTAACCAATGTACCTACATATGTACCTAAGTACGATACAATTTTAAATGCAAAAATTACTATTACAAGAGCGATAGTCATTTTTACGCATATTCTATACGTGTTTAATTTATTACGTAAATTACGTTATTTCGTATTATGTAATAATGTGTGTATGTGAAAATTTATTACGTAAGTTTCACGTATGTAAATACGTGAATAAACTTACGTAATAAATTTTCAAGAAAATTGCATACATAAAATTGACATAATACTGAAATGTATAGCTATATTTTTGAATTAAGAATTCATAGATTTCATAAGGTCACAGATACAAATGTGACTATTAATTACTATAGTTCTTGTACCGTGTGTATAGGATAGAATCGTCGTCGGCCCGCCGGTACTAAAGCGTGGGATGTTACAGGCTGCTGGGCGTTGCCATGGCAACCCACATCGATTGATGCCGCGACGCATCTTGCATCGTGCAACATGAACCTAATAAGGCTTTGTTGGAGCTCGCTAACAAATTGTGGAAACGTGAACACATCAATATCACAACACAGGTATATCTACTATACATATATCGTATACTAGGCTTGTGAACTTCGTTACTTTTAATGTATCTCGCGAGATTGTAGGTTGAAGGTAAATTGTGAACTACTGTACTTTATACACATACTTAAAATTATTGTAGGTGTGCTATGCACACACACATACATATTGTTAATACAGAGATTGAATTACATCGCGCGGCACAGCGCACCTACTACACGTCCCTCCCCAGTCAGATATACGATGTAGTCCCGTATCGCCGCATTACAATCGTGATAAAATATAAATGTATTTTCATTTGGTAAAGCTCATGACACCACACCAGAACACGCGATATATATGGATAGGAGAACCTTCCATTCATAGTACATAAGTGATATCACAGACCTGTGAAAGTGGTGACCCGCGAATTTAGTGGTGTGAACTTTACGATATATTATATACTACTATATATTACTTCATACTAGCATAATGAATCCACAAACGTCACAATCAGCTATACAAGCAGTGCAAGAACAAACTTCCGAGCTAGCGCAGATTAGCTTATCTTCAAGAATAGCCGAATTCTGGCAAGAACAACCCAGGCTATGGTTTGTACAGCTGGAAGCCG